TGCCTGCCCACCCCGCCCTCGACCCCTACACCTTCCTGGGTGAGTGCCACTTCCACCCCGTTCTCGCCTCAGGCCTCTGAGCCTCCACAATTCAGGCTCCAGGCCTCTGCTTTGCTCCCCAAACTCTCTTCTGTTACATCCCCCAAATCTTCCTTCCCTTGCTTACCCGCCCAGCCTCATCTCTGTCCTGCCACATCACCCCAAAGCCCGCCTTTCTGGACCCCCGAGTCCCCGATGCACCCTGCACAGTCAGGGCCACTGCCCAGTGCAGGGACAGCCGCCCAGGACACCTCGGGGGCACGGGACCCTCCGTCCTCTGCTGTGACGGTAGCTGGTTCACTGCGCACACACTCAGCTCTAGTCTCAGGCATTCTCTTGTTCCTCCTTTCAGCGGCAGCCTGAGGTCGGTTCCATTATTAATCCTCTGCAGGGAACACCCTGCTTACCCCGCCAGCCGTACCTGCCCCAGGTGTCTCCTCCGGGAAGCCCTCCAGGTTCACTCTTCCTGGCCAGGGGAAGGGCCAGGACTGGGACTTATGCTTTTGATAAAATGTGTTTCCAGCATCAGTACATATATCCAGTGACGCCTTATCTGTATGAAGAATAAAGTGACCACGTTATGCTCTGTCATGTCCTGAAGCTCAAATCACTAAGAAGCCCTCAGTTGGAGCTTTCATTACACAGCAAAGCTTTTAGCCCGCCCACACCCCGCCCTTCTCTGTGGGCCGTCACTCCTGTGCGTGCGGAGAGGCTGTCGGTGTAAACTTAATTTCTTCTTTGAACCCATGAAATCCTGCCTGCAAAGCTCAGCCAACACTGTAACTAACAAACTCCCTGATGCATGTAAGGAACAGAGATGCCCTTCGCCATCCCCCCCTCCACCCCTGCAGGGTTCGCAGGCTCCCGGTGCGAGGAGGACGTCAATGAGTGCGGCAGCTCTCCCTGTGCGAACGGCGGGCAGTGCCAGGACCAGCCTGGGTCCTTCCACTGTGAATGTCTCCCGGGTAAACGGGGCTCAGACGCCGAGGGAGAGCGGGGCGGGGGCAGACGTCCGCAGCCCCTGAGCGTGCCCTGTGCCCTGTGCCCTGTGCCCAGGCTTCCCAGCCCC